CCTCCCGCCCAACGCTTTTTTTTTTTTTAAAAATCAATCAATCAACCAACCAATCAATCAATCCACCAATCGATACAATCAATCAATCAATCTACCAATCAATGAATCAGTCGAGATCCCGTCGAATGGATTGGTTCGACAGGATCTTGATCAAGATCCCGTCGAACCAATCGATTCGACGGGATCCCGACTGATTGATTGATTGGTAGATTGATTGATTGATTGTATCGATTGACTGATTGGTTGATTGATTGATTGATTGATTGATTGATTGATTGATTGATTGATTGGAGAAAGAAGAAGACGAGAAAGAGGAGGAGGATGACGACGATGAGGAGGTGGAGGAGGATGACGACGATGAGGAGGAGGAGGATGACGATGAGGAGGAGGAGGACGACGATGATGAGGAGGAGGAGGAGGAAGAGGAGGGGAAAGAGGAGGAGGAGAACGAGGAGGAGGACGACGACGATCGACCTCCCGGCTTGGCGCGTTGGCGGAGAGAGGCCAGGGGCGCGATGACGGAGATGCTCTTGGGGGCATATTCACAACGATCTCGCTGGCAGTTATGGTGCTCAGTGCCGTGGTCAGCTTGGACGAGTCACAGCTAGCCCCTCGATGAGACAAGCGCTCCCAGCGGTATCGTCGGTCGGCGGGGCCTTTTGCTCTGGTGGAGGTGGTCTCCCTGTCTGTCAATGCCGAACGCATCTCATCATGACGTGCATCGTCAGTAGCCCCGCCTGGGGGCCTCGTCATGATGGCGTCCTCGTCATCATGACGCTTTTTTTTTTTTTTTTGAAATCAATCAATCAATCAATCAATCAATCAATCAATCAATCAATCAATCAATCAATCAATCGATACAATCAATCAATCAATCTACCAATCAATCAATCAGTTGGGATCCCGTCGAATCGATTGGTTCGACAGGATCTTGATCAATATCATGTGGAACCAATCGATTCGACGGGATCCCGACTGATTGATTGATTGGAGATAGAAGAAGACGAGAAAGAGGAGGAGGATGATGACGATGAGGAGGAGGAGAAGGAGGAGGAGGAGGAGGAGGAGGAGGACCACAACGATGATGACGACGATGAGGAGGAGGAGGATGACGACGATGAGGAGGAGGAGGACGACGACGAGGAGGAGGAGGAGGACGACGACGAGGAGGAGGAGGAGGAGGAGAAGGAGGAGGAAGAAGAGGGGAAAGAGGAGGAGGAGAAGTAGGAGGAGGACGCCGACCATGATGAGGAGGAGGAAGGCGACGATCGACCTTTCGGCTTGGCGCGTTGGCGGAGAGAGGCCGGAGGCGCGATGACGGAGATGTTCTTGGGGAACATACTAACAGCGATCGCGCTGACAGGTATGGTGATAAGTGTCGTGGTCAGCTTGAACGAGCCGCAGCTAGCCCCTCGACGAGATAAGTGCTCCCGGAGGTATCGTCAGCTGGCGGGGCCTTTTGCTCTGGTGGAGGTGGTCTCCCTGTCTGTCAATGCCGAACCCATCTCATTATGATGTGCATCGTCAGCAGCCCCGCCTGGCGGCCTCGTCATCATGATTGATTGATTGTATCGATTGACTCATTGATTGATTGGTTGATTGATTGATTGAATGATTGATTGATTGATTGATTGATTGATTGATTGATTGATTGATTGATTGGAGAAAGAAGAAGACGAGAAAGAGGAGGAGGACGACGACGACGAGGAGGAGGAGGAGGAGGATGAAGAAGAGGAGAAAGAGGAGGAGGAGAAGGAGGAGGAGGAGGACGACGACAATGAGGAGGAGGACGGCGACGACGAGGAGGACGATGACTAGGAGGAGGACGATGACTAGGAGGACGACGACAGCATCGACATAGAAGAAGAAGAGGAGGTGAAGGACGATGACGCGGAGGAGGAGGAGGAGGAGGAGGAGGAGTCTGAGGAGTAGGAGGAGGAGGACAACGAGGAGGAGGATAACGACGACGAGGAGGACGAGGAGGAGGAGGAAAAAGAGCAGGAGAAGGAAAAGAACGAGGATGGGGAAGAGGAAGAAGAAGAGGAGATGGAGGAGAAGGATAACGAGGAGGAGGATACCGACAACGAGGACGATGAGGAGGAGGAGGGAGAAGAGGAGGAGGAGGAGAAGGAGGATGGGAAAGAGGAAGAAGGAGAGGAGAAGGAGGAGGAGGAGAAGGAGGAGGAGGAGGAGGAGGAAGAAGAGGAGGAAGAAAAGGAGGAGGAGGAGGTGGAAGAAGAAGTGGAGCAGGAAAGAGGAGAAGCAAAAGGCGGAAGAGGAGGAGGAGGAGGAGGAGGAATAGGAGGAGGAGGAGGAGGAGGAGGACGAAGGGAGGCAAACTCACCTGGCGTGGGCGGGCGATGGCGGGTGGGTTGCGGCCGTTGGGCGTCGGAGTTCGGCAACTGCAACGCCGAACTCCACCGACAGGGCAGTGCGAATTCGCGTGTGAGACAGCGCCGCCGCATCTCGAAATTCGAATTTGAAATCGGCCTGATCTGGGCCGTCGATCGCAAAGATCTGACGACGTAGATTGGGCCATTTTCGTTCTCGATTTTTGAGGCCCTGCCGGCCTCGGAATTTTTTTCACTTCAGCTCCCCCCCTTAGGCCCTGCCCACTTTCCACTCTCACGGCATCAGATTCCCCTTGGAAGCCCCAACCCCATTTTTCGCACCGATTGGACGTAGGGCCCCGGGCGGACGACCGACCGGTTGTCCGATCGGACAACCCCGGACGGTCAGGGGGGTCCGGACGTCCGATCAGGTAACTTAGAAATGGTTCAATTTTCGATAATGATGTATGCTAGCGCCTAATGTACATTGAAGGTACTAAGGGGAATAAGCAGCGTTTGAAATGGCCAAACGGTAACCCTGCAGAAAGTGTTATGAGCAAATCATGTACGAAACGATAATCTTGGCAAGCAATGGCAAGACTATATGTATAACATGATGCAAACAAATTTTCTGGAAACAGAGGCATATATCATCCAACCAGCTCTGGTCGTGGAATGCACCAAAAGTGCATAATGAGCGAGAGGCCGTGCAACTGGACATAACAACTTGCATTGACCATCACATGTACAACATAGGCCCTTCATCAAAGATAATAGACAGCCATGCACAAAAAATCCTATAAGTATACAATGACACAAGATGCTGTTAACTATTGACAAAGAGACCCAACTAATTTAATAAATCCCGAATGCTCGGTACCGAGTCCGAACGTGGCCCAAAATGGACCGAGCCCGAACTTTTTATTTTTTTATTCTTTTATTTATTTTTATATATATATAGGGGTTTGGGGGCCATGGGGGGCATCGCTCATCACTCCTGAATATACACACACACACACCATACACACCCACCCCCAGACACCCCCCACACACCCCGCACACCACACACACGTGAGGACGTGCTCGGCAGCCCCCTAATTTGCGCTCGGCCAAACATGTTCGGTTCCCGCTCGGCCGAGTGTCCGAACATGTTCGTCTGCTCGGTGGGGCGCCGAACATGTTCGGTGTGCTACACAGTATAAAACATTAGAATCTACAAAACTATCCAGAGAAAGGCATGTTTTTTTTGTAACAGGAAAGGAAGCAAAAATAATAATATCATATGTAGCAGGGAAAAGAATATCAAGACAGAGAAGGTATTGACATGGAAAGGTATTGACTTGGAAAGACTACCATGTCTTTATGCCGATTTCAATAGGAATAACCAATGGATATATCGAACTTCTAACGAAATTGAAAAACGTACATTGTTCAAGTTGCCATCATCAGGGGAAGCTATAGTGAAACGTTGAATGTAGCAGATTGTGAAGAAGAATAAATTGTATGACGAACAAAATGAATACGAGTATGAACAAAACGTAGTCGAGACGCCTGCAAATCGATGGGCATCTACATTGGTATGGCGTTTTCGGAGCAATAGTTGCTGACTGTGTCGGCGTCTTTGCAGGCCGGGATGGAAATAGGAACATTTTCCGTGATGCCTGCGCGACAGTCACGAACGAATGTATAACCTGCGATGGAGGTCGCGAGCTCGAAGACTCCGACGAAGACGAAGACTCTATCTGTTGATGATGTTCGCTTTTCTTCACAGTGGACATAACAACACGTTTCCTTGACGGTTTCCTTTCCTGCTCTTTTTCTATTATAAAGAGAAGAAAGTGTTTCTCTAGTTTGAAAAGCTCGACGTTCACTGTATTCACAAATAATCAACAGAAGTAGAAACGGAGGGGACATAAGTAAAACCCACCTGACTTTAAACGAACCTAACTTTGATCAACAACAGATCCAAATGAATTGAATGAAACAAGAGAGTAACCGACAATCCGAAAAGCAATCGGCATCATAGAGAGGACTTGCCAATACTAACGGTTGCAAACAACAATGACTTAATACATACGTCTATGTTATGCATTCTATACATACATACATATAAAAATCGGGAAAACCACGGCTAAATAGAGCGCCTTTTCTTTGGCTTAGATGGATTCCCTGAATCAATAGTCCAATTTGGACTAAACTGACTCGATAATAGAGTCTCTTGGTTGATTGATCAGATTCTCCTTGTCATTGATTGAATTTCTTGTCAACCAGCTTCAGTTATTCTCAGGCTGTTTATCTCACCTACTATAACAACACGTTGTGTGTATGGGGCGGCGTGGGGGAGGGTGGAGTAGATCACCGAGAACGAGAATGATAGTGGGATCGAGTCCTGGATCAGATGCATGCATGTGACATGAAATTTTGGTGCCTTTTTTGTGTTCGTCGGGTTTCTAGATTCTGTTCTAGCTGAAGATCCACAATGTAAATATAGCTTAACAAGGCAGTCATAGATTAGTCAATCAACAAACATTCTTTTGTTGTCAAGAACTGGCCTGAGATTCTGAGTAGATGAGAGAGAAGCAATGAGGGGAATAAGCGTAAATGTACTCTAAATGCCTGACAAGTTGTTGGCGATGCCTGGCGTCAGGAGAGATCTGTCACCGGTGTTCACTTACTGTAGATGCTCCAGGATCAGTCTATGATCTAGAATTATGGATCAGTGTACGATTCTTGGACCAGGTCAGTGGAGACGATACACAATCATGGATCAGCGTATGATCCAGGATCAGCCCCTCACGAAAAAAAAAGGAAAACAAACAAAACAAACTTTGGCTAGTAACTTGGCTGATGTCATCGGTAATTCGTCACCAACGCCAAAACTTCAGTTTAGTGTTGTGAGCTAATTACTGCAGGTCGTAACAGTAAATTCCAGTTAATAGTGTAGTTTACCACAGGAAGTAAGTGAATCAATTACGGTCTTAGGCGACCATTTTATGGCTGATGCCATTGCCATTCCAAGCAGTTATAGGTGACATGGTTTCAGCCTTTCAGGCAGCTATAGGTGACGTGATTTCAGGCGATTATACACGATGTAATTCCGAGTGACTATCTGCTTAATTAGATTTTAGGAAATTATGCGCCTGATGCAATTTGAGGCAACAACACGTGATCCGATTTTAGCTGACTATGCACCTGATGCAATTTCAGGCAACTATCACACGATTTCAGGCGACTATAGGTGATGCGATTTCAGGCGGCTATACGTCCTGTGATTTCGAGGGACTATCTGTCTAATGAGATTACCGACAGGTATACCCCTGATGCAATTTCTGGCGACGAAAATTAATGGCACTGGTGGGGACTGAGCTTGTCTAAGGGAAAGTTAACTGTAGAAAACTACTGAAGATTGTTATAGTAAACTGCAGTAGAAAGCAGCAGTTACCCTATTAGGAGTTTTTAGACTCGGAGTCTCTGAGAGCCCAAGATAAAGTTAGTCTTATAAACAGTGGCAGTTAACCTGCAGTCACTTTCTGAAGTTAATAACTTGCACCACGACAGTGCAAGCTAGCTCAAGGAGTTAATTATTACGTGCATCAAGAGTTATTGAGGCCACCTCGCTGCAGACGATTACTGTTTAGTGCAGTTAACTGTGATGACCTTGTTTGTATCTGATGGTTACCACTTGAAATGGATGGATCATCGACACAGTAAATTTTTGTGCATTGCCAAGTAAAAGTGACTCCATGCAAAGTTATTTGCTTCCAAGAAGAGAAACTCCTGCTTGGTTACGTTACTGCAATAACAGCAAGCAAAACATGCTGATATTACTGTGGTAACTTCAAGTTCATGCAGCAAGAGTTTTCTGTCAGTGCATTAACCTACTGCACATGGAGTTACTGTTACTTTCAAGCAGAAGTTACTGTGGCTGCACCTACATATTTCGTAGGGAGGAATTTTTACATTTTTTCTTCCTAATGAAGCCAGAGTTTCAGACTACGTACATGACAATGTGAACACATCTTCAATATGCTTTTCAGACTACGTACATGACAATGTGAACACATCTTCAGTATGCTGCAGAGTCCTGAAGTCTGATCCATGTGCTTCTGCGCAGTAATTCTGTCCAGTTTGACTTTAACAGGCATTCCACAAATAACGACAAGGAAATCGAACGGACACCACTTGGGAATGGTCATGCTCTCTCTCTCTCTCTCTCTCTCTCTCTCTCTCTCTCTCTCTCTCTCTCTCTCTCTCTCTCTCTCTCTCTCTCTCTCTCTCT